TTTAGAGGGAAATTAGCAGGGGATTTGGGACTGGCAGCAGCCTCAGAATATAGCCGCTTGGCAAACTGTGGAAATCTAGCTGATGCTTCCATATAGCTAAGGTTTTCCTGAGACATGACACTTTTGATGGATTTTTGTCTGTTGTGTTCAGGACATCTGTTATCAGTAGCACAATGGCTACCACCATGACATAAAAAACAAGATATCTCCGAGTCAGGAACCAGGCAGGAGTCACCAGAATGCGGCTGAGCACATTTATAGCAGCGGGGCTGGGACCTACATTGTTTGGCAATGTGGCCGAACCGACAACAATTCCTACATTGTATGGTAGGTAACTGGTAAAGCGACACTGGCAGAGATGCATTGAAACAAAAAAATTTTTCTGGCAGACTCTGTCCTAGAAACGTAAGGACCACAGAGTTCGATGGGACCCAAACGGATACTCCATCTTTTCTATTCTTAACATTAAGACGTCTAGCTCGAACAACTTCGCCACAATTCTTAGGGACAGATATTCCAGATACTAGTTCCTCTAGAGTCCACTCAGTAGGGATATCCCTAACAACACCCATACGAAATACTTGGAAGCGAGGAATATTTGCCACATAATTATATTGTCTGACAATTGGGAGTTAACAAAAATTATTCGCTGAGATAGCAGACATAAATTCCACACAGACTTTGTTACGACCCATATTTTTAATGGTTCCCTCTACAATATCAGGTATTTTGTTTTTGTATAAAAACTGGGCGAGTTTGAGTGCCTTAAGAGACAGGCCGGATGATGGATCAGGTTCAAGCCTAGAAACATACACAGAATATGGTCCCTTGTCTGATATCGAGTATTCGAGCCTGGAATCAGACTCAAATCCAGGTTTTGAGAAAATTGACTGAATCGATTCAGCTGGTGAACGTATTTTCTTTCCATCGAAGTCAACGGGAAAGACTGAGTCCGATTGTCGCTTTATAGCTTTGGGTTTATCGGGGGGGTAACACACCGCCCCCATCAGGGGGGTCTTCCGCGCTCATTTCCGTAGAAATGAGCGCGGTTGTTAATATTCACTAACCTTGTTAAGGATTATTCCTGCAACAGAACCACACAAACACTATTTCGAAAGCACAAAATGAAATTATATGCCAAAATTCAGAAAATAACCTAAAAACTCACTACTGTCGCTTCAACACACCAGAGACAATCAATCATTACTTTTCATCTCAGTATTTATTTTGAATTGTCACTTGTCAGTCATTCAGCGCCATCTATCGAATAGATAGGAAATCATTTCTCAATTAGATTTTACCAATGTATAAATTGTTTTAATTAGAAACCAACTGAAAAATATGTAGGTGCCGCTTTCATAGATGGGGTTGTAGGGGGAAGTCCCGTAGCGCCGGACGGCACCTAGCGCCGGACACTCATACTATTTTGACAAACGTCAACGCGATCTATTTATAAATCGGTGAAAGGGGTGCGGGGGAACGTAGCGAGACAGGATCACGCAACGCGATTTGCCAGTGAAACGCACAGTCGTGGTGGAAGCCGTGAATTGCTGTTTTTGGTGGGAAAGCATTGCGTCACGTAAATTTCAAGTAAGTATTACTGCTATGGTTTTATCCTTAATTGTTTTTGTTTTTTGTTAATAAAGACAGTGTTTCACTATAATTATTATATTGTGAAAGTTTTTATTAAATACCTAAACAGTTTTAGTATGAAATACGTAATTTTGGACGTTTCCTGTCCCCTATTTTCGGACACAAAGGTGTCCCTTACCACCGGACAGTTTATAGGTTAGCTTTTTTATGAAGCATTTGTACTTATTGTAATGATGATTGTTTGTTGTTTTACAGGATAGAAGGAGAGAGATATTTGAAAATGCAAGAGAGAAAAAAAAAGGAAAATGGGATCAGCAAAGTTTAAAAAACTGCGATGAACAAGATTTTGTCCAAAAAAAATGAGTTTGAGGGCAGCTTCGTCACGTTACAATGTTCCAAAAAGTACTCTACATGATAAAATAACGACATTGAGCAGTGGAAAAGAAGTCACGTTGCAACCAAAAGTTGGTAGATTCACAAAAACCTTCTCACCCGAGTATGAGCAAGTTTTAGTGGACCACATAAGAGATTTGTCTAATAGATGTCTGCCCCTGATGAAAAAACGAGTTTTTGAAGTTAGCTTACGACTTGGCTGAAGCTATGAAGATTCCCCATGAGTAAACAAACCAAACGTGGCAATAACGACAACAAAAAAGGAGCCGTTAACTGAAGTATCAAATATAGAAAAAAACGACTTGTGTAGTGTGTTTAGAAGACCACGACGAGGACTGGATACAATGCTCCAGATGCCAATAATGGGCTCATGAAGCATGTGCAGACGTTCCAGAATGTGGAGATGCCTACATATGTGATAGATGCTAAAAGTTTTAGAATGTCCGGCGCTTGGGGTTTGAAGATTAACCCGTCCGGCACTAGGTGCCAATGTCAAAGTCCTTTATTTTTTTACCAAAACTTATTTAACATTCCTAAACTATGTTTACGCAGAATTTGTATTTTTGTTATTTGATTTTGATTTTATGTTTTGTTAATTTAAGTAATTCATAAATAAATACATATTTCTCGATGTAGTTTTAATTTTATTTCCTGAAAACCTTATGTGTCCGGCACTAGGGGACTTCCCCCTAATTAAAATCGTGTCGAATCAGTTTTACTCGATCATCACAACTTCGTTCCTATCTATCGGGTGTCCCACGACACCACACGGCTTTTTGTAGATCTTTTTAAGATATATAATGCCGTAGTACATTATTTTGATCTATCTCGTAAGGTTTAGGCAGCGCATGCAATGTAAGCGAAACATGTTTTAACAACTTCACATTACAAATCTATGAAATTCTCGAATTTTCTGTACTATAATATGCATGTATTATACATAAAAACCCGCGTCTTGAATCACTCTCTCTATTGGTGAAAACTGCATCAAAATCCGTTGCATAGTTTAAAAGATCTAATAGTTTAAAAAGTCTAAACGTACAAGAAAAAAAAGCGACTTCATTTTATAGTATATAAAGATAAAGATTTTTTTTGTCTCGGCAAACGTAGTATAGGACGCCCACAGGTCAGGTGAAATGACGATTTGTGCAAGATGGCTGGCAGGAGCTGGATGCAAGAAGCCCAAAATCGATCTAAGTGGCGTGCAATGGGAGAGGCCTATGTCCAGCAGTGTACTGCGACAGGCTGATGATGACGATGAAAGATTTAGAAATATATAAGTATGTTTATCAGCAGTCTGGTTACCACAGCACAGGTTCAGCCTAGTTTGTGATCAGACAATTAGAGTCAAAACTCCCTTCAGTGATTAGCAAGGAACAGAACATCTCTGAAGATATTTTCTCTGGAATTTTCTAATTTCACTAAGTCCTCTAACGTTTATTGACTGTAACATCAATCGTGAAACATCAACATAGAGTAGATGTCTTATGGATTTAATGGATGATTTACACTTAACGGTGTCTTATTCTGAGGCCTGTGAGTTTATTTCACATTTACTCGATCGTCACGGCGCTATGATTGGCCCGCACTAAAATTTCAACCAATCGCAACGATAAACGCGCTCGCTGTAGAACTTGCACTCAGCCCTCTGATACTGTCATAAAAGTCTATAATTCACCTCCTTTTTTTTTTTCGGTGCGGAAATCCCCTCGGATACCACCTGTCGGTGGCATGTCGGACTCGAACCGACTAAAACCGCACGCCGTCTCGGGTACTAATAGCCGGGAAACCAGGTATACCCTAGAAAGGAAGTCCCTGGTGCCCCGACATACCTCGGGTCATCTACAGACGAGTAGACGACCCCCACCGTGTGGGAACCCCATGTTCCCTCTACTCCCTGGAAGCGAGCGCGCTTCGCAACGCGCTCGCCGCCACCTGTCACCCCCAGGCCTGCGCTTATGGAGGACGGAGGTCGTTCTGCGTATAATTCACCTCCTAAATAAAAACAAAACTTTCTATCAATCAATTTAAAAGTTATGATGCCACACACAGATACACATGTTAAAGTTATGTAGTGTACCTTACACTATTCTCACACACCCAATTTACACACTTTAATATTAATAGGTCTTAATAGTCGGTAGGTGCAAGGTCTGGTGAGTATGGCGGATGAGGGAGCTTCCAACCCCAGCTCTTGCAGCTTGGAGACTGTCTGTTGCGCAGTATGGGGTCGCGCGTTGTCGTGAAGGAGCAGTGGGGACGACCGATTGATCAAAGCTGGTTGCTTGGTACTCACCAGACCTTGCACCTACCGACTATTACTTTTTCCAAAATTTAGACAACTTTTTAGTGGGTAAAAAATTCAATTCCCGAGTGGCAGTACAAAATGCCTTTGAAGAGTTTGTTGCCTCCTGTCCAGCTGATTTTTACAAGGGCATCAATAAACTGCCAATGCGTTGGCAAAGATACGTCGATTGCATGGGTGATTACTTCGAATAACAGAAATAAAAAAGTTTGAAAAAATAAGTACTTTCACTTATTGCATACAAAACGGTAATTTCATAGGTAAAGACCTATTATTTACATTTATTTATTTATATAAAGATATCAAAGGTAATTTCAATACCGGATGGACGATAATTCATTTCCAATATTACCGATCCCTATTATCCCTATTACCGCGCATGCGTGAGATTGTTGTGATGTCGCTTAGCTACGTTGAATGGTGTCATTTTTCTGCCTTAGCTAATTTTAATGTATTCTCAAGACTTTGGACTTTGAGTTGGTTTCTACTGCAAGATTGTATATCCAAGCTTTAATTAAACATTATATTGTTGTTGAAGTGTTTGTGATCTATTAGTGCGGAGTTAACCTTCTGATATACCTACTCCAATTATCTACAGTTAGAACTACCCTCCTTTTGGTTTTTAAACATTTTAAAACCTCCTTTCTAAGGAGAGGCCTATGTCCAGCAGTGGACTATTAAAAGCTGTTGATGTGTGATGTGTACTCACATCGGGCTCTATCCTCGACGGAGAATACTGTGGTGGTCCATAAAGCTCGGCATCCTCATCTCCATCCACTACCTGTAAGTCAAAACTTATTTTCATCTTTCTCTTTAGCTTCTTTAAAGAATACTGTTACGTTCCCTATTTAGAGTAAAATAACTTGCGATATCTTAAGAGACTATTTATTTTATTTAATGATTTATGCACAAAAACACGTACAAAGGTAGACTTAATGCCATAGGCATTCTCTACCAGTCTACCTTGGGGTGGAGTAGAAATGAGTGATTAACTGTTGAGTTCCAAATTTAATTTAAACTTTCTTTAAGAACAACTTTCTTACGAAAAGTGAAAAACTGGGGATAGAAAGAGGGAATATATGATGATAATGATAACCAACTCTTTTTTGAAGTCAGTTAAAAATAAATCGAATGTAGTTATTCAGTTGTGTTGTTTCATTGTCCGTGCAGTGACGGATTAAGAGTACGGAATGTCACTACCCCAATTCGTCCCGTGGGTGTCGTACAAGCCGACCAAGAGCGAAAAACTACGCAGGACACCAGCACTGCAAAAAGAAGGAAAACTTGACACAAACCCTATACGAACCCGTCTGGCCAGCGTGGTATAGTAGGCCAAAACCTCATTTCTAAGGAGAGGCCTATGTCCAGCAGTGGATTATTAAAGGCTGTTGATGATGATGATGTTGTGAGTAATTCAGAAGTGGTCGTATATGTTGAAGACTGCTTCATTTACAAACACACTTAAATAAATGCATTAAATACTTAATAGTAGTTCAAATTAAAATTTGCCGAGGTCGCTGGGTTACTCTTCTGTTCGCTTAGATAATATAATAATAATAATAATAATAATATATTTCACACATCTCACACACGGCCGTCTGATCCCAAACTAGGCAGAGCCTGTACTATGGTAACCAGACTGCTGATAAACATACTTATATATTTTTAAATACATACATATTATAGATAAATTACACCCAGACACAGAACAAATGACCGTGCTCATCACACAATATTTGTCCTGGGTGGGAATCGAACCCACGACCTCTGGCTTAGCAGTCAGGGTCACTAACCACTAGACCAACAGGCCCGTCAATAATATATTTTACTACATTCACACAACGCCATCTAGTCCCAAACTAAGCAGAGCTTGTACTATGGCTACTAGACAACTGATATAAATACATATATACTTTTTTTTTTGTAAATACATACATATTATACATAGAAACACCCAGACCAAATCAAACATTAAATCTTCATGCACAGAAATGTTTGACTTGAGCAGGAATCGAACCCGCGACCTTTGGAATAGCAGTCCGTTACACAAACCACTACGCCATCCGGTCGTTCGATCACTTCGAGGTTGTCACTGTCTGACCGGCGAAGACTTGCTCGTATTTATACCCACGTACTAAACTCAAAATTTCTAACTAGAATGTTCTCAAACTATTTCTAGAAAATGTTAGGTCTTTTTAAATTTATACAACTTCGGGCGACGATCTATTTCGGTTCTTATGTTGATAACAATAAAGTTCATAGTCCCGTGCCGCGCTGCATTATTATTTCAATTTTTACGGTAGGTTCGTGGCAATACAAATGCCGTCACGCATTACTAACGTGTTCACCAATCAAACTAAACTAAATGCTTGTATTAGGTTCACATTGGTAATGGACTGAGTGGGGTTTGAACCCATAACCCAAATGTTTGTTACTTGTCTCAACCTAAACTACAGTTTATTTATCAACTCTGCTCTCTCTATTTATTTATCAAGAGTGCACGAATGGCGTAGTGGTTTAAGCGGTCGCCACGCCGTTTCTTATGCGCCGAGTGTTGTAGGTTCAAACCCTACACGGGACGACACTTTGTGTGATCCACAAATTGTTGTTCTGAGTCTGGGTGTTCTTTGTGTCCGTTTCATGTATGTTTGTAAAGTTCCCCACGACACATTATATTTTCCAAATGCGGCAGGTGTCTTTTTAAAATGAATGAATGAATGAATGAATGAACATATGCAAGTAGCATATCAGCACTCACCAGCGCCTGGTCGTTGGAGGCTCTTCTCACGCAGGTGGCCGGTCGTGCATCTCCATCCTGCAACGCACCAGCTCTCACTCTCCACTCGCCGCACCATCTGTACTCAGCGCCGAATGCACCGCCTGCCGGCTCGTCGTTCTACAACGAGACAATAATATTATTTAATGTATAATTTCGAATGGATCATCAACAGCTTGTAATAATCCACTGCTGGACATAGGCCTCTCTTTAGAAAGGAGGTTTTTTTGGCCTACTACACCACGTTTACAAAAGAGATTGGTATACAGTTTGTTTCAAGTTTTCCTTCTCATTGCAGTGCTGTTGTCCTGCAGTTTGCTCCCTTAGTCGGCTCTTACGACACCCACTGGATGAGTATGGGAGCAAACTAAGCAGCAACTACTTAAGTGAAGGAAAACTTGACACAAACCCTATACCAACCCGTCTGGCTGTCTGTACTATACGTAGGCCAAAATCTCCTTACTAAGGAGAGGCCTATATCCAGCAGTGGACTATTAAAGGATTGATTTCTTTGGCACATTCTACAACCTAAACGGCTTGATGGGGTTTGGCGCTTGACGTGCCGTTAGATTCGGCTTACGCCTAAAACACTAGTTTTTTTAATTTAAAGTACATTTTGATGCATTCTCGCTTTTTCTTTTCAATAATTAGCTTGTTTAATATAATATGGTGTACTCAATGTTGATACCATTTAAATTTAAATAAAACTACGTCAGCCTATCCCCGTCCAGTGCTGAATGAAGGCCATCTGCTGCTGCAAGCAATTTTCTTGAAGTCGTCGAATTAAACTCGCAGCTTATATTAAAACCAGCTGGTGCCTGCGACTTCGTTCACGTGGCATTTGAAAACGCTGCCTTAATGGGTTCGAATCCCGGACCAGACAAAATTTTACATGATTTTTCTGATAGAGAAATAGCATAAGTTACTCCTTATATAGACAGCTACCTGGTAGTTAAATATTATCAAAAGCGGTCGAGCCGTTTTGAAGAATACCCGGAACAAACAAACACACACACAGACAAAAAATATTTAAACTGGTTTTTTAGCATAGGTATCGTATCGTGCAAATAAGCGTATGAGCATGAAAATAACCTATTATTTTGACATTACAAACACAGACTTCAATTTTATTTATTTGTATTGATAACAATGTTACCTCCACATCTATACTGCCTTCTTCAGAGCTTGTATCCGGTACATCTTCATCTAACTCAGCGCCAGTTCTCTTGAGACAGCGGAGCGCGTGCCGTTGAAGCCTGGTGACGGGCAGCATCGTATTGCAAACAGGACATTCTCCGCTCTGTGCCTGTGGAGGGGGGGTGGTGCGCCGACGAGCTCGGAGCCGACGGAGGCGGTTTGATTTCACACGCTGGAAATATAATATTTTAATGATCATCAAAGAATAATATCTTCATTCAATCAAAAGAATAATAATAAGGATAATTATTAGACTTGCAACGAATAGTATATTCGGCAGTATACCGAATATTCGGCGAGGCCCCTGACCGAATAGCCGAATATTAGGCAAAAGTATTCGGCTGGATAAAATCCAAAACTTGTACAGACGTGAATTAAATTATGTACCTGTTTTATGTACCAATGACTACTTAATAAATGATTTTGATTACCACAATAATTCAAATACATAGAATCCTCCATTTTTTCTATTCAGAAGATGATTATGTACCTGTGTTATGCACCAATGACTACTTAAATGATTATAACAGAAATGAAAATATGAATATATATGTAATCAATCGATTTTAATTTTTCATTTTACCAATTATTTCTCAATGACAAAATATATTATTTAAGTATTCGGTATTCGGCCGAATAATATGTAGATATTCGGTATTCGGCCGAATATAATAAAAGCAGCCGAATAGGCCGAATACCGAATAGTAACCGAATATTCGTTGCAAGTCTAATAATTATACATAACTACAGATATCTCAAATACAAATATTACACAAATAAAATTATAAATGCGAAAGTGTGTATATCTGTTGCCTATTCATGCTTAAACCGCTGAACCAACTTGGATGAAATTTTGTACAGAGATCATCCAAATTCCGGGAAAGGACATAGCGTAGTTTTAAACTTCAAGAGGGTAGAAGTTTGTATGGAGAATCAGTGGAAGTTTGTTTGTATGGACTGCACGGATGGCGTAGTGGTTTAAGCGGTCGCCACGCCACTTGCTACTACACTGAGTGTAACGTTATAGATAAATTACACCTCATCGCAAAACTATTTGTCGTGGGTGAGAACTGAAGAACGTCTTGTCGTCAGGGTCACTAAATAACCACTAGACTAACAGAACAGTCAAGATAAGCATGTTAAAAGCATATTTAAAGGACAAAACAATAAATTAAAGTAATTTAAAAAGAAAAAAGTTGCAAGAATGTAACCAAAACCTGCTGGCTGGCTATTTCTTACACTTCCCGAAGGCCAATTCTCGTAATTAAAGTTCAGTCTCGTTTCATTTCCGATCAAGTCTCGATCTCACAGCTGACATCAAAATTACCTCCATAGTAAAGTGTTAAACATTCAACGCTGACTGTAACGTGATTATATCGTATTGTAACCGAATATTGAATCGGTAATCTGCTAAACTTAGTAATATTTTACTGTTTACGAAAATATCTTTTATGACAGTTGTGAGATTAGGAGTTGATCGAACTGAATTTTGACCGAACTTTTACTATGAGAATTGGCATTCTGATTTCACAGTATTAGCAGTATCCCTTTGCTAATATACCCATCTAATCTTTAAAACATGGGTGTAACTAAAATCATATTCTACAAAATGTAGGTTTACTGGAGAGGTCTAACGAGGTAGGTAGGTGTACTTTGGCAAGTAGACCGGAGTGTAAGATTATAGTAAAAACTGCACAGGTCATTGTCCAACAGGCTACGGGTGACCTCTCCAGTAAACCGTAGTTTGTGTGTCAGGTTTAATATGTCTTTTGGGGACATAGATGTGTTTTATGTTTGTATATTGATTAAAACTTATATCCTAATAGCGCAAAAATGACTTTAAAAATTCAATATATTTTGATTTTTGATGATATCTCATAGTTCAGAATTACTTAAGACTTTTTTTTTGCTTTACAATTTGCACAAGCATTATCTAACAGGTCACCATTAGATGGTACAGTAGAGGACATCTCATGTGTACATCTGTAATCCATACTAATTTTATAAATGGGAGTGTGTCAGTCTATTACCTTCACATTTTAACCGCACAACGGATTTAGATAAAATTTGAAGACACTTTGATTCTCAAGTAAAGACATAGAGTAAAAGCTAGAATATAGATTTTAAACTTGACAAACCAGTATTTTTTAAAGTTTTGCAATGTTATTAAAGTTTTCTTTAGGTTAGTAAGTTGCTTTTATCAAATATCGTACAGGTTTGGGCACTTTTTTTTTCTTCATTTTTTTTCTTTACATTTTCTTATATCTTCATATCAATGCTGACTAGTATTACAAGGAGGTTGAATGCAAAATGTTTAATGTTAAGCAGAGCCTACAATGAATCTTACTTGATAAACATCACTGCCTAAACAGCCGGAGACATCGACCTCATCCTCTGGCACGTCAAGACTCGTACTAGAACCGGGAACTGCTAAATTACCACCAGAACCACTAGAATTAGCACTAAGTTTTCTTTTAGAAGCACTTCCAGATATTTTTTGTAGTCTTTCGACTTCTAAAATCAAATGAGAGTCCAATTCACCTTGCCTAATAGTACAGCTACACACAGGACAATTAGGTAACTCAGTCACTTTCTTACGATTTCTCACACAATTTAGTATTATGTTATCGTCATATTGGTTGAAACTAGAATTAGGTGAATTACTTAACGAATTAGAACTCCCTTCCATGTTATTGTACATTAAAATAGGTAACATTTCAACTGATTAAATTTTGTTGTTGTATTTGACCGATTATAAATCTGTAAACATCACAGGTATTAAAAAAAATATTTGCGTTTTGAGTACTTAAAGACGTCAATAAAACTTAGATGATGCTCAAGCTAGTCATCTTACAGACATTTTTATGGTAATTTATGTAATAAAATAAATATTTTCAAACAAAACACTAATAATTGGTCGTTTATCGTTTACACAACTTTTTTTTTAAATTACTTTGATTGGAGTTTGAGTGACAGTTGTTAATCGTTTCGTTTGACAATAGTGATACTTTTAGTAAACTATGATGTTAGTCGATTCTAAAAATATTAATTCAGTATTTTAAAGATATCATGTGCTTTGAAATTTTTTAAACAGCATGTTTTTGGTAATTATCAAATAACTAACAGAAACACATATTTTAATGATTTTAAAGCTTCACCTCTAATATTAGCATAATAAGTTTTCTAAAAAGCGATTACTTCAGAATTAAAGCATTACTGCAAATAATTAATAAAACATCCTAAAATCCATTTTAGTCCTTGTCTATTATTTTTAGTTTGACCCCGAAACCAGTTATGCACAAAGCACACCAGGAATATGTATGGCGAAAGAACGGCAGTCTACCTCCTTCCTCCTTTGATTAACAAAATATCCACTGACTTCCGTGATAACCTCCACCCAAATAATATTGAAAATAAACGAAGGTCTTATTTTCTAAACGAACTACACAACCAAAGTTAAATGTATGTCTACTCTCGTATGCTCGTATAATAATTGTGTAATGAGCACGATGATTTAACAAGATATAACAATAAGGCAGAGCCTGTACCATGGTAACCAGACTGCTGATACACATACTTATGTATTTTGCGGTCTACTGCTATTGATTTTATTTATCTATAATACATACATATTATAGATAAACTACACCCAGACACGGAACAAATCATCGTGCTCATTACACAATTATTTGTTCTGGGTGGGAATCGAACCCACGAACTCCGGTTCAGCAGGCCCGTTCAGCCAATAAGGCCATCAATAATGATAACAGGTAATAATTAAAAAAATAAAATCCCGACTGCAAAAGCATAATTTAAAAGTATGCACTAAAAATATCGAAACAGCACGAGGTCCAAAACTTACCAATTTATTATTCCTTATTTAATTTAAATATATTATAACTTATTTACATTTCTGTATCAAATTAAAAGGGGTTTTTAAATTTTCTTGGTTTTGAGACCGTAATCGATAGGTTTAGTTGATTTTTTTCTATTAACCTATTATTATTTGGAGCCAAAAAACCGCCGTTTCGATTTTTTTCTTTCAAAAAGCTATCTATGGTCACTTGTGTTTTTGAGATGGAAGAAAAAACCGTAACCGTCGGAAACTTTTGGAAAAAACGAGGTAATAAAGAAATTTACAAACCAACACACAAGAAACGCGGGAAAAACATAACCCTTCCTTTGGAGTCGGATAAAAAGGGATACATTGAAATAAAACAATCAAAGTAAAAAATTCTTTTTTTTATATTATGCATATATGAGGTATATATTCCTGTTATGATTCACCTGCAGCAGCTATAGTAAGGGCAGAGTAAATCCCTTCTGAAAACAGAGGGGGAGATCCTGTCCTGACTAACAAGCCAGTTCCAAGCAGAACTCATTCTTAATAATAATAATCTGTGGAACGGGTTATCGCCTGCGGTATTTCCGGACCGATACGACCTTCAAACCTTCAAGAAAAGAGCGTACCTCTTCCTAAAAGGCCGGCAACGCGTTTGTGAATCCTGAGTTACAGACGTTGATGAGCGGCGATGGTCGCTTTCCATCAGGTGACCCGTCTGCTCGTCTACCCCCTCTGACGTAAAAAAAAAGTTTATCTGAGTTATCGATCCCCCCCCCCCCCCCCGTTTGAAAAAAGCACATTTTTATTCCACATTGGACCTTTCATGATACCGTTTCCTGTGTCTGAGTTATAACAAGGAGTTTCTGATCATTCTTTTCACATTCTTCTTGTCCCTTCTCTTGTAACTTCTTTCTGCTATTTGCGGGTAGTTTCAAATGTACTGTTCGGACGTGAAGTTTCAGAGAATTGGATTGGCTGAAAGTTCTTGAGCAGTATTGACATCCATACGGCTTATCACCAGTATGTACCTGAAATAAAACCTTTTTAAAACAAAAATTTGAACCGACTTCAAACAATACTGTACTGTACTGTTCAGTACAATTCAATTCAAAGAGCACTAAAAACCTAGCAGCAATCGCGGTTGATTTGCTGTCATTTTTGAAGAGCTCAGTTGTCTGTCTCCGAAACTCATCATCAGATCTATATGAAATTAAAATGGGACCATTTCGGAATAAACCCCTTTCGAACTAAAAAGAATTTTAAAATCTGTCTATACTCGTAAATGACGAAGTTATGCCCGAACATACATTTAAAAAAATCATAGAAACATCCGCATTGAAAACCTTCTCCTTTTTGAAGTAGGTTAAAGAAAACTGAACTCGTGGAAGGCTCATGCTTGATCAGGATCATATGGGTTTTCTTGATCAGAGAGGATACCACGGCCTCACAGTAAACCTGCTGTTAAGCAATTTTTTCGTTACTTTTCACCGAGTGATTGTGGTTATCGGAAGTCCAACTCCCCCTACTCTTGAGGAGGAGAGTAAAGTTCAACTCCCCCCCCCACCATCTCTTGAGGGGGAAAAGTCTAACTACCCCACTATCTCTTGGGCGGGGAAGTCCAACTGCCCCAACCCACCATCTCTTGAATGGGCTTCGACCCCTACTATGTCTTGGGGGTCCATGTCCCCCCCATCTCTTAGGAGGGGAAGTCCAACCCCCGCCTATCTCTGGAGGGGCACAACCCCCGCCTATCCCACTATTGGGTGGGGGGAGGTGGTACCCCCCCCCCCCCTTAGTCCGATTTTCAAAGAGTGGTAACGTTACACACTTGTGTCTCTTGTGAACTACCATCAGATGACCTGTCTGCTCATTTGCCCCCCCTATACCAGGAAAATAGTCCTCACCCTATAATGTCTATTCAAGGCTGGCTTCTGACTGAATCTCTTCCCACACACCGCACACTCGTAAGGCTTCTCGCCGGTGTGGGTTCGTGTGTGTATCCTCAGCTGGTTGCTGTCCGTGAACTGTTTAGAGCACACCGTGCATGAGTACGGCCGTTCGCCTGTGTGGGTTCGCTGATGGTATTTCAGAGTCGCGTTGGACTGGAAACAGAGTTTACACCAATCAGATGACCTGTATCAAAAAAAGGCGAAGGTATCTAAAAATAATTTCTAGAAAAAAAAGAAAATTTTACAGAAAACCACTGGTAAGCAATTCTTTTGTTGGTGTTTACCCAACTATTCCTCCCTCTGCTTTGGGGGATGGGTTCACAAAATCAACGCTCTCTGTAACTCTTGAATAGGCTTTTGTCCACTAATGACAAATTATAAGAAAAAACCAGTCTAATTCTCATAAAAGTTTAAGATTATTAATATTTTATTTAAATAAATTCGAACAAAATAGGCATTAAGTCACGTGACAGCGAACACCGATCAGAAAGTGTTACGTCACGCCACGCAAAACATCATTGTTGTTGTTGACGTTTTCATACAACAGAGCAGGTTACTCCTTATCGTTTTTCGTTTTTAGAATATTTTCTCACCTTAATACAGTTTTGTTTCGCAGACTGTGACGTCATTCAAAACGCCATGATTCAGTGTTCAGTGTTTTCATGGGTAATTTAAATTGTTTTTTTTAAATACAAAATACGTAATGTAAATATTGCTTTTTCTTTAAAATATAGTTTTTTTGGGATAAAATATATAGTTAATCAATTTTTCAAATTGAGTCAACTAGCCTATTTTAGGTGTCCAATGGCGATTCCTTACCATCAAGTGATCTGTTTGTGCGTGAAATTAATGCATCAAAAATGTCTCAGCTAACCCCTGTGGTGGGTCCATCGCGTGGGAGCAACACATGTGACTGCGGAAGTACAAAAAGGCGGTAAAACAACAATTTCCTTACCGTACAATGTTTCCCGCAAACTTCACACACAATATTCTTGTTGTATTTGAGACCTAAATGTATTCTGTTGATGTGACCTTGCAGCTTCGATCTGCTCATGAAGTTCAACCCGCACTGTAACAAACCACAATCACCATGTGATTTATCTATAACAAGGATTTCCAAGCTGTTTTGGGCAAGAGACCCTCAGACGCCCATAGCCAAATTACTTCACATCAAATGCTATCCACTGCTGGACATACGTTTGTTGACATGTTTCATGAATGTTTGTACATGGTATATTCCAAGTGCGAGACTAGTCTTTAAAGAAAAACATGTGATCAGTGTGTAGTGTACCTGTGGACAGCGACAGTGGTCGTGGTGGTGGTCGTGCGCGTGCGCAGGTCGCGTGGGGCGCAGCGAGCGGGCGTGCGCGCGCAGGTGCACGCCCAGCGCCGCGCTCGACCCGCGCCACCCGCAGATCGCGCACTCGGAACTGGACACCACACCGACACACATCCTTAACACATCCTCTCTTTATACTAGACAAGATTTGCCCCCGGCGTCACCCATTACGTCGGTTATCGTAGTAAATAGTAGCCTATTCCTTCTACAAGAATCAAACTATCACACTGAACATTAGCATAGGTCTCGCGCCGGGGATCTCCAAAATTATTTTTTGACGTAAAGAAAATCGACTACCGCGAACAGCCGAAGAGAGAGAATTCCCCCACACCGCAGCCATGTTCCCTCTGCTGCCTACTAGGAGGAAATAATCGCTCGATTTTCTTTACGTCTTCACGGCTCTTTCATGCGTCTGGGAGATTTATAATTTTGCAGAAACTTTATATTATTTTGAGACGAAGAGTTAAAAGCTTTAATTGGAGCCCCGAACGGATTTCCTACATCATCAACAAGATTTAGCAATCCACTGCTGGACACAGACCTATCCTTAGAAAGGAGGTTTTAGTGTACTATACCACGCTGGCCAGACGGGTTGGTATAGGGTTTGTTTCAAGTTTTCCTTCTCATTGCAGTGCTGTTGTCCTGCGTAGTTTGCTCCCTCAGTCGGCTCTTACGACACCCACGGGATGAATAGGGGTGGTGACCACACGGACATGCTTGACACGGATTTTCATACGAGTCACACAAACTCAGAAAAGCCGTGTAAAACCATGTTTTCTGGTAAAGTTTCTAACGTAATTGACATCAGTAGCTCTCGTTTTCTTTTTTTTTTTTCCACAACACAACCTCCTATTTTTTAGTTTGCCCATTTTTTCTTTCAATAAACCGGTTTTTCGCTCCTGTTCCATTTTTTTCAATAACTTGCCACGAACCGATTTTTTCCTAAGGATTTCTTTTTTTTTAAGTAAAACTGATTCGTGTAGTAAAAGTATTAGACTTTTACCTGAATTATGAAAAACCCAGCCAGTTTATTATTTTTAAATATGAAGGTATATTGCGCCCGCACATCCTGTACTTTAAATGATTTTGAAAACTCTTTCACCAATGGAAAGCTACATTATCAGCGATTAACATAGCCTACTTTTTACCATGATAACCCACATACAAGTGGGCAGAGCCGCGGGCAAAAGCTGGTATTTATCTATACAAATAAATAAAATTGGAGTGTCTGTTTGTAATATTAAAATAACCGCTTTTTACTAAATGCATATGTATGTTTACACGGTACATATGCCAAAATAACATTTTTTACAATTTTTGTCTGTCTGTCTGTTTGTTCCGGGTAATCTCTGGAACGGCTGGACCGATTTCGACGGGACTTTCACTGGCAGATAGCTGATGACATAAGGAGTAACTTAGGCTTTTTTTAGACTAGCTTAGCCCCGCGGCGTTGCCCGCGGTTATAACAACAAACGCGGGTAACACCGCGGGTCTCAGCTAGTATATTACTAAATACATACATATTATTGATAAAACGACCGGATGGCGTAGTGGTTTGTGTAACGAACTGCTATTCTAAAGGTCGCGGGTTCGATTCCCACTCAAGTCAAACATTTGTATGCATGAAAATTTAATGTTTGATTTGATCTGGGTGATATAAAATGTATGTATTTGCAAAAAAAAAGGTATATATGTATTTATATCAGTTGTCTAGTACCCATAGTCTGTTTAGTTTGGGACTAGATGGCGTTGTGTGAATGTGGTAGAATATCACACGATACTTGTCCGCCGGCTTAGCAGCCATTGTGGGACAGGGGTAGAAGGGTCACTGTCATCAAACCTAGATCCTCGACAACATGGTGGGCCGGTGCTTTCAACCAGCTGAGGTGACGGGGAGGCAACGAAAAGCGGGACGCGGGCGCAACGGCTCCCACCACGATTGCCATTATGTACTCAAACGGGATCACTGCCCTTTCAACGTACCCCTTGCAGACATTAAACACCAGTGCAACATACGGTCCACTTTTATTTATCGACTAACACCGAGACATAATAATCTTACCTAGTTTCATTTTTCAGGGTATGTTTTACTGAACACAGTATATGTCTCTTCCAAGCCTCCCTGGTGAAGAACTGGATATCACATTCGGTACAGTATCTATCAGCTTCTGACTCCTCGCAGGTCTCTTTCACCTAAAAAAGGAGTAATAATCATTTAAGAGAGCCAAGCTTTAGTATCCGTGTGGTGATCCTAAGAATACGGAGTGTCACCACCCCTATACATCCCGTGGGTGTCGTAAGAGCCGGCTAAGAGAGTAAACTACGCAGGACAACAGCACTGCAAAGAGAAGGAAAACTTGACACAAACCCTATACAAACTCGTCTGGCCAGCGTGGTATAGTAGGCCAAAACCTCCTTTCTAAAGTAAGGCCTATGTCCAGCAGTGGACTATTAAAAGCTGTTGATGTGAAGATGATTGAAAGATGGTTAAGTCGGGAAGGCAACTGTAATCACTAGCTCAAACATATCAGGGTCGACTGACCTGACTCCAGCTGACCAGGATAACTTACCAGAACATCGTTCCTGTGACTCTTACTCTTGTGCATTTGCAGTCCGTGCTTGCCCACGAAGCTCTCCCCACAAACGTTGCACACATGCTCCGTCGGGTGGCGCTTCCTCATATGGGATAGGTACGAAGTTGGTTTCCTGTAACAACATTATCTTACAACTAGCTGGTACATACGTCTGTCTGTGTGGTGACGGATTAAGAATACAAAGTGGCACCACCCCTTTTTTTCTCGTTCGGAAATCCCCTCGGATAACACCTATCGGTGGCATGTCGGACTCGAACCGACTAAAACCGCACGCCGTCTCGGGTACTAATAGCCGGGGAACCAGGTATACCCTAGAAAGGAAGTCCCTGGTGCCCCGACATACCTCGGGCCATCTACAGACGAGTAGTCACCACCCCTATTCATCCCGTGGGTGTCGTAAGAGCCGACTAAGGGAGCAAACTACGCAGGACAACAGCACTGCAGAGAGAAGGAAAACCTGAAACAAACCCTATACCAACCCGTATGGCTAGCGTACTATAGTAGGCCAAAACGGCCAAAAGGAGAGGTCTATGTCCAGCAGTGGATTATAAAAGGCTGTTGGAATTTGAAAAGCGCTCCCTTAGTGGGATCGATTGGGTTTTTCTGAGAGGAAAAATAGCCTAAGTTACTTCTTTAGAAGATGCCCGGGACAAACAGACAAAAAATATTTAAATTGGTTTTTAGGCATAGGTATCCTGCAAATAACCGCGTGAGCATTAAAAAACCTATTATTGTGACATTACAAACAGACACTTCAATTTTATTTATTTGTATAAATAAAAACGTCCCGTGGAAATCAGTTCGGTTATTTTTAAGATAAGATAATTAAAAATCCTTTTTAAAAAAAGTTGAACCGACTTCAAACAATACTAACAAAGAGCACTAAAAACCTAGCACCAATCGCGGTTGATTTGCTGTCATTTTTTTGAAGAGTTCCGTTGTCTGTCTCCGAAAGTCATGTTCGGATCTATATAAAATTTAAATGGGACCATTTCGGAATAACCACCCTTGGAACAAAAAAAGAGTTTTGAAAATCCGTCTATATATGACGGAGTTTTGCCCGGACATACATTTAAAAAAAAACATAAACATCCGAATTGATGACCTCCACCTTTTTGAAGTCGTTTAACAAAGCAAGCAGACACATTTGATTAGTAGTAGTAGGGTCAACATAGTAGGCCGAAACCTCCTTTCTAAGGAGAGGCCTATGTCCAACAGTGGACTATTAAAGTCTGTTGATGTGACATAGACTTTTTTGTCTTCTCGTGGGATTAGCAAAATACAAAAACAACCACGGGTAAAACCAAGAGTGGCATTACGTTTTAATTGTGGTGAACTGCAAAACTTAAATGATGCAATTTACCAAACAATATTCATTCGTTCCAATAAAATGTTGATCTATTGTAGAATCATTTTTCTTTTAGTACACATATCAGACAATAGATGGCATTACAAGTTTCATTTGATGTATTAATACTAGTATAAAAATGAATTTCAACAGTAAATAACAAAAAAATATATATTTACCTGAATTTATGTCCACACAATTGACATTCGTATGTGAACCCGCTGTGCCACTTCTCATGCACTCTTGCCTGGTTACTGAAAGTGGAAAAGAATAAACTTTAATAATATAATATTTTTGAACATCCGACTCACAGCGCCATCTAGTTTCAAACTAAGCAGAGCTTGTACTATGAAAGCTAGATTGACTGATAGAATACTTACATATTGTTTTTTTTTAAACATATTTATTATACATAGAAAACAAATAATTGCAGATCATACAAACATTTGGTCCGACTCGGGAATCAAACCCAAGACCACAGCACAGCAGTCGCATACGCTACCACTGCACCACCGAGACTTTACTTAACAAGTTTACGAGGTTTTATCAAGAATCAAACTATCCATAGAAATAATTTACATAATATTATTTTATCATCATTTTTTGAGATGGGAAAAACCATTGAGCTCGCGACACTGTTACCGTTGCCGACACCTCTGTATATAAATATCTATATATATTGTCCCCGTTTACACGAGAGTTGAGTTTGGGTTGAAATACATTGATAATATAACTATAATAATATAAACATATATTGTGTATATACGTACAACATAGATAGTTATATTCATGTCAGAACTTTTCGAATCGAAATTTTTCCTGCTTTAAACAAAAATAAAATTTCACTTCTATCGGCACTACCGGAGTTTCTTTCCTTTTTCTCCTCTTTTAGGACATGGGGGAAGGCTTGCATGCCATACGGGACGCAACCAACCAAATCGACTCCATCAACGTAGTTTATTATTAGTTTAGTATTACTTCTTAAACTTTTTCTTTACTTTTGCAGAAGTATCTGGACTGCATACTTTGCAGGCCTTAGCATAACATTACAGATATATTACGATTATTATTATTTGCAACACTCACGCAGTATGTGTAGTATGTCCACACTTATTGCACTTGAATAGACGCGAATGCGCTGTGACGGCGTGGGTGCGCAGGAGTTGAGCGGAGCGGTAGCGCATTCGGCATATCTCGCATGAGTGACTGCCGCTGCGCTAAGATACAAGGATGGTTTTAATTTCAAGTAGCGTAAACAATATCCAGGGTGGCGATAAACATTAAACTCTTAATAAATAGACATTAATTTGACTGCACGCATGGCGTAGTGGTTTAAGCGGTCACCTCGCCGCTTCCTACTACGCTGAGTGTTATGGGTCCGATCCCCACATGGAATGACCCTTTGTGTAATCCACAAATTATTGTTCTGAGTCTGGGTGTTCTCTGTGGCCGTTTCATGTATGTTTGTAAAGACCCCAGCGACACAGGATATATTCCTAATGCGGGAGTTGTGTTTTTGGAAAAAAAAAGTTTCTTTTAAAGACAACTCCCGCATTAGGTATATATCGACATAAAAAACACCCGAACTCAGGAGAATAATACGTGGATCACACAAAGTGTTGTCCCATGAGGGGATCGAACCCACAACACTCAGCGCTTGTAAAACCCACACGAATTTAATCGATAAAATAAATGTATTTTTAAATTCGGGAAAGGTATTTACTAGGGAGAAATATAGACATAGATCAGACTGCCGTTTGGAGATAAGTCTAGTTATTATAACATTATTTAATAATAATAATATTTTCGGACATCTGACACACAACGCCATCTACTTTCAAACTAAGCAAGACTTTTTCACTGATAGAATACTTAAACCTTTACTTTGTTTTGTACCTGAGACCTCTGCACAGATTGGGGAGGGGGTGGGAGTTATTATAATGACATACCTCATCGTGTTTGACCTTATGGTTCTCATAAGCCTTGGTGTCCACGAATCCTTTGTAGCACAGCTCACATTTGTACGGCGACAGAATATAGTTCAAAGTCTTGGACCTGGCTATCATACTGGCCACCTGCTCCTCTTTTGATAGAATAATCTCATGAGCGTCCACTTTGAACGCTGAAATAAAAAAAAGTGTGTGTCAGCTCCGAAGCACGACTAGAGTTTAACCCTGAAGAACACATAACCTGTGTACGTTAGCTGCACACAAATTTAGTGATCAGCGCCATCTATGTTAACCCTGAAGAACACATAACCTGTGTACGTCAGCTGCACACAAATTTAGTGATCAGCGCCATCTATGTTAATGTTCGTAAAATAATTAGAAGTCACGTATTAATTGCCATTTGTTTTAGGGTTTATTCCGTTTTAAAACAATTTTAATTTTGTAGTGAACTACTCACTAAACTTAAACAAATTGCAATCATAGAACTAATAACAAACTTACAAAAAATATTATTACAACCACGTAAAATTAAATAGTTGAACCGCCATCTATAAATTATATTTGGAACTAAAAAAATGTAACGAGGTCATTCGATCACAAAATTTTACTCGTTATATTTTTTTCATACCAGGCGTTTTATATGAAAATCGATTCTTAAGGATTAAACTCCAATTAAAAAATATTAGTACATACATACACTAAGGGGTGGTTCTGTATGTAAAAGCATATTAAAAACTCACAAAATAAACTTACTTGTTTTAATGTCTTCTGGTTTTTCTCTTCTAACTCTGACTCTCTTCTTTCGTCTGATTTTTCTCTCCGACTCACTCTTGATTACTTTCAGTGGTATATCATCCTCTGGATCTGAAGATTGGATATGATCATCCAGTTCTAGAGCCCCATTCTTCATATCTGAGAAGAAATTAAAGAGTTGTACAAAAATGGAGGGAGACTATTTATGTTTCATGGTATTGGAGGGTCATCTGATGGTAAGTGTCCACCGCCGCCGCCAATGCAAGACCTACCTGTACCAACCTGTCTGGCCAGCGTGGTATAGTAGGCCAAAACCCCCTCTCTAAAGATATCCAACCAGTTTACTATTAAAGGCTGATGATGAGTAATTTGCCCAAGAATGAATCTGCTACCCAATACTCCCAGGAATCGAGAGAGGAATCATGGGAAGCATGCATCATGGCATATAGACCAGCTAGCCTGGAATACCAAGGCCTTATAGAAACTGGTATTAGGCCATTGTTTCGATGCATTATGCTGAGTAAGGGGACCAGAAGATCACCCCTCCTCTTCCTAATTCTGTTGGATGGGGTTCTCTCAGGGTCACTTACGCAGCAGGGGTCCCTTATGTATACCACTAGCTGACTCGCGCAACTCCGTCTGCGTCTTTTAAAAGGATTTAATTTTCCCCGTATTTGCAACATTCTTCATTGGTGCTCCCCACCAATTGGTCTTAGCGTGATGATATATAGCCTATAGCCTTTCTCGATAAATGGCCTATCTAACACTGAAAGAATTTTTCAAATCGGACCAGTAGTTCCTGAGATTAGCGCGTTCAAACAAACAAACAAACAAACTCTTCAGCTTTATAATATTAGTATAGATATTGAACGCGCTACGTGTGTATTTATACTAATTTCTTGAAACATTTGTTCTCCTTTTCCTTTTTTTCCTTGCGAGTCTTTTGCAGTGCTGCTGTTCTACGTAATTTACTCCCTTAGTCAGCTCTTACAACACCCACGGTAGGAATAGGGGTGGTGGACACTTCGTATTCTTAATCCATCACCCCATCCAGGCTCACACACAAACCAATTTGAACTATTTAGTAGTTGGTGATGATGATGGTGCACATTAGCAAGCAAAATCAAACTCAAATTATCAATATTTATGTTTAGTTGTTTTATAATTGTATGCCATGTAATTCGCTATTTGCGTGGAATTAAATACTATTTATTTATTTATTGAGTCTTCCTGCAAACGTATTGCATAAGGCGGACTTAATGCCTCAGGCATTTTCTTCCAGTCAAACCTTTGGGTGTTGCAAAGCTGTGTGTGGCAGGTGTATATTTGGGACAGGTAAAGATGCGACTGAATTAAGCCATGTTACAATGGCAGAAAAGAAAAAATCCTAGAGATATATAAGTACTAGATATACATACATATAAATATCATAATATATATAATATTTCATTTCTGCGTAAGAAGTATACCTTCAGATTCTTCCAATTTAACTTCAACAGCATCAAATACTTCTGAACCTTCTGTCTTGACTGCTTCCTCTGCATCCTGATCTATATCCAAAGTACTAAAGTGTACAACTGGACTGATAACGAGCATCAGAGAGCCAGGGGTTTCTGGCAATTTTGAAGGTTTGAGCTGGAAACATAATTATAAAGACTGTTAGTTAGAAGGCTCGGACAAGATGGAAAAACCAGTTCAAGGGAACAGGATAACCCATTAAAAGCCATGTAATCGAACCTGACCTGAGGTCATCCACAAGTTATGTCACACGTTGAGGAGGAGGGGGGGGGTCGATCGAGTGTGACATCTAGTGACAAGAGGTTGGAGAGGTCTTAAGATTCTTGATGTTACATTTAAGATATCATCTAAGTAATAAAATAATAAAATAAATAAAAATTTTAATTATTAACATTTACATTTACATTAAGTTTACTTAAAAATATGACCAATTTAGAAACTGATGTGTCAATTTGATAATTTCTAGAAGTAAAATCGAGAAAAGCCATGAAATTTGTGTGCAGTAATTTCTAGATCGTCCGTTTTTCTACCAATTATCATTCTGACAGAAGCAAGACTGACGGATTTATGCTATATACAGTGTCATTGGTGCTAGAAATTGCATGTATATGTAGTTTCATTCTAACTGACTGCACGGATGGCGTAGTGGTTTAAGCGGTCGCCACGCCGCTTCCTGAGTGTTGTGGATTCAAACCCCACATGGGACAACACTTTGTGTGATCCGTGTTCTTTGTGTCAGTTTTGATTATGTTTGTAAAGTCACGGCAACACAGGATATGTTCCTAATGGGAATTGTGTTTTAAAAAAAAAAGAAAAAAGAACTTCTAGTCAGAAACTGCTCATATTGTTTATGTGCCACTGTTAATGGCCTTACTCATACAGTATCTCACCAAATTACTTGTAAGCATCTCCGTGAATAACGCCTCACTCTGTAGACAGGTCATCTTCAGTTGATAGCAGTTTTGGAGCCGGGCACAGCAGATGTAACAGGCTTGTATTGGTCTTCTATCTTCAGTTTCAAACTGTTATTAATGAATACCAAATTAAACAGTGAAAAGGGCAGAAAAATTTGTTATACAGTCATTATAATTTATTTCATAAAAAATCAATAAATAATTTTAAATTAAACTCTGAATGATCTGGGCTAATTAAGTTAATAACAAATTTAAAAAAACAGTAACAAGAAGTGTCGAAAAAAAAATTGTAACACATTTTTCGGTCTCGTTCCCTTCCGCTCAGAGCGTGCAAAACGCGATAAGGAATTTCGTTCCATAAAGCTTCACACAATTTGTTACCACTTATATTATTTATTGCTTTTAAATATCGAATCGAACACTGAATTAGATAAATAATGTAAAAAATCTTGTTAATCTTACCGGCGCCACAGTCAACTTTTCGTACATTTCTTGAAGGTGCGAGTTACCTATTAAAACCATGCGCACATCTTCCGCTAAACAGATTCTACACATTGATAGTCTCTCCATTTTTTTAAATGTTAAGTAAATCGAGTTCTAATAACTTCAACAATCACAAGTTACACTGTTGTTATTTTAAGGATTCGGTGGAATACGTTTAAATTTAATGAGTATAATTAAACACATCTGGCTACAATTTTTATTAAAGTTATTAAGGTAAATTATACAGTAATAGAAATTTCATTTTCATTTAAAAACATTTAATTCAGTTTAACTAAACTTCGATTATCAACTTTTGGCTTTGTGGTAGAGTGTAACCACGATATCGCCAATGTCATGTATTTGAAAGACAAACTGTCAAAGGATTTTATGTAGAGCTGCGGTAGAGTCAAAACTTCGATTGTAGTTTTACGAAGAACAACAAACAAAGAGAAGGCAAACTTGAAACAAACCCTATACCAACCCGTCTGGCCAGCGTGGTATAATAGGCCAAAACCTCCTTTCTAAGGAGAGGCCCGTATCCAACAGTGGACTATTAGAGGCTGTTGACGATGATGATGATGATGTGTGTATTTAGAAATATGCGGCATGTCATTATTTTTCATGAAAGATTCAAGAAAGAGTTGCATTGCTGTCACTAATATGAAGACAAGTGCACATCAAACTATAGTAGCTGCTATATTAAATCTTTATCTCTTTTAATAACCATTTACAATGTGGTTATGTAGGTACCTATTTCCGATAAAATATAATAAACCTGACGAAAGTGACATATAACTTTAAGATTCTTCAAGGTAGTTTGTAAAATATTGTTTTTATAAGATTAAATGGCATCTCCAATGTAATCTAAAACAGAATGAATAATGAACAAGATTCAATTAATCTAGTTCAAATTATCGATACATGAACAACTTCGCACAAGCCTATCAGTTGACTCTCCCTCTAATAATATTACTAAATTGTAGTTTACTGTACTCTGTGCAGCACAGACTAGCTTGCTACATTATACTAATCTGTGGCACAGACTACAGTAATATTTAGAGATGTGACGGTCTATACTATTGTCAAACCGTATTGGATCGATTTGACAATTCGTAATAATCCGTTTCAAACCGAACCGCGAAATTGCAGTAAACTGCGGTTTGAACCGTATGGTGAGTTAACCATCGAATGTAACATACGAAAGTGAATTGTATGTATTAAATTATTATTAAACTGACGACGCGCGCTAACCGTATCTGATTTGTTAGGACATAATAATATAGCGTGTGCTTTTAGGTAAATTTATAAATATATATTCACTGCCATGAGGCATCGACTCGGTTCAGAGTCGGTTGGTATATAAATTACTTTTATTCGATCGATAAAGCAGGAGCCGCAAGCACTACAGTACGCGCTTCAGCCATAGCGCGATCTTATAATACGGGCTATGGCTGAAACGGTTTAAACCACGGGCTAACCGAGTCAACTTGGTCATGATTTAACCGGTTAACGGGTTAGAAAAGTCGAGTCGTTCCACCACTAGTAATATTATTCTGTGCAGTTTACTAAAAGGCCACAGCTATTGACAGCTTATGAGCTATATAAGTCGAATGTTATGTTTGACATGTCAGACGTTCGATATAAAATACCTAGTAATAATTGCTATACATAACTACATACAAAAGAAACTGTATTTATTTAAATAAAATCAGCCTTTTTCAATGAAACCAACAAAATAAAAGCGTGGAAAATCGTAAGTATTTGCTGTTCTCAGTTCTTATGAGATTTTTACACTTATCCATAAATATTATACATAGTATATGTCTAATATGCAAAACGGTATTTTTATGCTTCTTGATTCCTTTACATACACATTTGTAGTAATCACTATCAGAGAACACATCACTATTGGTAATAAATTACATATTCTGTTGACTGTTATGGCAAGGGTATACCTTTAAATCCAAAGTTAATCAAACATATCTAATAATATAGACATCTTCGGTAATATTACAGGACATTTTAAATTCCTTATCAATAAACAGTTGACATCAATTTAATATAAATTTATTTGATTATATTATATTATACAATGTAGCTGTATATTATTGTATATTGTTGATTATTTAATTATTAACTATTATCAGTATTTACTTTTGCAAAGGAGTATTATTTAAATTGGCTTAATGAATGTAACAGTAATTTTAATTTATTTTTATTTGATTTATTTACTTCTGTTTTTTGTAATAAAATTTTTGAATCCTAACAATATGTTTCCTGATTGATCTCCTGTAATTAAGGATACACCAGATGAATAATTTATTATTCTTTGTGAATGCTATATGATATTCTTGTTGAAGATCCATGTAAAAAATAAAAAAAGAATGTTGTTAGAGACACAGAGGTTTGAGCTCTGGGATGTTCGGTTGTTTTAACTAATACGCAAAGTCACTATTACAGCAGGTTGCTTATGCTTTGTCAATCTCTGACAGAACTGGTGGTCTAGTAGTTTATCATCCTAACTCCTAAGCTAGAGGTTGTGGGTTCAATTCCCAATCAGAACAAATAATTGCTTGATGAGTACGATTATATCTTATAGTATGTGTGTATTTAGTAATAAGTATGTTTATCAGCAGTGTGAAGGTCAATTCTTGTAATAAAAGTTTGGTTACAATTCAGTTACGGTCAATTTTAAATCTCACAACTGACATTTAAGGTAATTTCGTAGTAAAATATTAAAGTATTACTAAGACTGCCAGATTATTGATTCAATTTTCAGTTACAATACGATATAATCACTTTATAGTTAACGTTTGATGTTTAATGATTTAAATACCTTTCATGACAGTTGTGAAATCGAAAGTTGACCTATCAAACTGAATTGAGACGGAAGTTTTATTACGAGAATTGGACTTCAAGTTGGCACAGGCTCTACCTAGTGTGGGATCAGATGGCAGTTAAGCGTTTTGTGAGGCGATATTATATTATAAATAAATTGATCGTAAATCAATGTAGAAATACATTATCACCATTCTGTTTGCTTAAAATGATTTATTATTTATTTCGTTAATTAAGAAACCTTAAATATTATTTATTTAATTTCAGATTCCTGGTGCAAGTTAAAAAGCATCTAGAGATGAGTAATACTTTCTATTTAAGGTATTTGAGAATACTTAGTATTATCATCATAGGAAAAGCCTAACCATTGTCATATTATAAAAACGTTTATAATAATTTAACAGCAATGCATCAAAATCATCTGGACTTTGTCTGTGATTACTGTGCTAGGACTTTCACAAGAAAATATAACCTACAAACGCATATAGAAAACTGTCATATCAATTCATCATCACACTGTGATATTTGTGGACAAAGCTTTGGCAGTCCAGCCGGCTTACAACTCCATCTGTCAAGAGGTCACAACAACTATGCTCAACCGTTTCCAGAATGCGATATATGTGGAAGAATTTTTACGAGAAAGCAAAATATTACATCTCACATGATCACCGTGCATTTACAAGGCTTAGGTGACGATATAAGGTGTAAATTGTGCGATAAAACTTTTACTACGGAGAGAAATTTGAAGAGGCACATGAATCAACAACATAATCCGCATGCGGAATATCCCACTTGCTATTATTGTAACAAGATTTTTAAAGGGAAACACTCACTTATTTCACACATCCACACAATACATAACATCAGTGAAAAAGACGCGATAAAATGCCACCTGTGTGAAAAAGTGTACACGAATATGAGGAATTTAAAAAGACATGTTGAAATGTTTCACGGAGAACGAGGGGAGTTCAGATGCGATATATGCCCCAAAGTGTACACTTCAAATCAGAGTTTAAGAAGGCATCTCCGCACAACACACAGCACGGACAGTAACGAACAATTTACATGCGACTTGTGTAGTAAAATTATCACCGGTAGAGAAAACTATGAAAGTCATTTACAGTATATTCATCATTCTGAAAGCGAATCCAAAACTAATGTCACTGAAATTATTTGTGAAACGTGTCACCAGACATTTGAAGAAGAGTGTCTGTTAAGGCAGCATATAAAGGAAGATCATTCTTTTGAAGCCTTTTATAAGTACTGTAAGAATGTTTTATTGAGAATGTACGGGTCTGAGTTTGTTGATAATGTGTGTGTGTACAGTTGCGAATATTGTCAGCACACATTCGCTAGTGTGTACGAACTAAAAGATCATATGCGGATAAATCACGACACTGAATACTCTCTCTCCACTTGTAATGTATGCTTCAACAAGTTTTACTGTAAGGAAACAATGAGTGCCCACAAAAAAGTATGTCTACCCCCACCTAATGTTAATTCTTGCAGTCATTGCGACAAGTTATTCACTGATATCTCTAGTTTAGAATTCCATACTAGAATATTTCACCCCCAAGCGCAGATTGCTGACTCAAATATATCTTCAACTAATGTAGACGATGATATATCAACGTCGTTCAAATGCCATCATTGTGATCGGATGTATTATAGTGACCGATCATTAAAACATCATATAAAGTTGAAACACACGTCTGATGAACAAGTAGGCTGTGAGTTTTGTGGTAAAATTTGCAGCAATAAGTACTATTTGGCTTCACACATCAAAATAGTGCACAACAATGATTCTTGGTCTCGATGTGAATATTGTGATAAACAGTTCAAATCTAAACGGAATATCAGAAGACACATTGAATATACACATCTAGGTATGCAAAGATACAAATGTGTCGAATGTGAGACGCTTTTTAAAGAGAAACGCAGCTTACGAAAACACGTCAGGACAAAACATCCCAATTCTGCTGCATTCCCTCAGTGCCATATATGTCACAAACGTTTTGAATCGGCCAAGTCCTGCAAGATCCATCTCAAGTTACTACATTCGTTTAATATGAACACATATCCTTGCCATCTGTGCTCCGTATCATTCAGCTCTAACGAAGCTTTGACGATACATTTGGACACAAAACATTTAGCTGAAGACGAAATATACAAGTGCGAAGAGTGTAATCTAGTCTTCAAAGGACAAGAACGTTTTGATAGACACAACGTAGTAAGCCATGTTAATCTGGTGTCAAATATAAAACAAAAGCTTCTACCTAGATGCATTCTGTGTTTGAAGGATTTTAGCACGCGCAAGACTTTAAAAAGGCATATTAAGAAGTTCCATAACGAATTTGACGTTGATGACCTAGCTACTTTTGGCTCGAGAAGGAGGAACTTCACTGTAGACTGCGAAGATTGTATCAAGAATTTTAGTGATGAGTTTCATTACAATGTGTACCAAAAAATAAAGCATTTAAAGGATTCGATTATATTCAAATGTGAGAATTGTCATTCATCGTTCAGCTCCCTGGAATATGCTATTCAAAGGTACAAGATTGCTAATAGTGATGGTTGCAAGACAAAGGCAATTCTAAGCGAGCTTTGCACGACTGAAATGAGTGAGGAGGAGTCTGAGTTTTCTGGGTTCGGTTCTCTTCATCAGCTACCGGAGAGCACGACCAGTGAATTTAACATTAAACAAGAACCTTTGATGGATGAAGATGATATCAAAATTGAACCGATGTCGCCTTAAGCTGGATCCGTTTACTATTGAATAAAAGATTAATTAATTAAGTGCGGGCGAAGCATCTTGTCTTCCAACTTTGGGAAACGAAGGGGGTTTTCAGACTCTAATCAATCAAATTAGGGAGGTGGAAGGACATTGACCCATCCCGTCTCTCTAAAGAAGGGTCCCGTAAATTTTTACACTGCTTCTCTTTTTTACATGGTGGCACGATGCAATGTGTCAGAATCGCACCGACTGCTACATACCATACAACATTCGAAGTGATTACACTCTTTTTTTTTTACGTATGGAGACCCCCTCGAGCCTTCACCCCACCGGGGTGGTGTGTTGGAATCGGACCGACTAAAACCAAACAGTGTGCCACTCTTTGCCTGTAATAGGAGGGATCCGGGAACTACTGGTATTAAGACATCCAGACCAGTGGTTACTCAACCCTCTTTTTTAAAGTTGTTTGGTTAACTTACACGCTGCCTGGTTTTGCCGGATTTAGAAACCTTGTATTTCTTTGTTTACACCACTCGCAAAGTCCGTCATTGTGGGAGTGGATGGATAGGATGAAAATAGGACTAAACGGGCAGTCGGACGGAGTTTAGTCCTATTTTTAAGAAAAAAAATCTGGTGGAATTTTAAGGGTGGAAAATTATGGAATGAAGATATTAATTTAAATATCATGATGTAATAACAAGTAAAAAAAAGCGTTTTCTAGGTAAGAAGTCTTATTTAAATATGAAGATTAAGTTTAGCATTAAGTTTCTTTAATGTATCTCAAAGAATCTCAATGTAATCAATATCCCAGTGTTCTCATAATAAATGTAAGTTTTTATTTATATTTTTGTCTTTTAATGTAGCATGTTGCCTTGATGACTTCTGCTTCTGACTTACTGCGCTGAGTGTTGTGGGACAACACTTTGTGATACACATATTGTTGTTCTGAGCGTGGTGTTTGTGTTTCATGTATGTCTGTAAAGGCCCCCGCGACTCAGGATATATTCCTAGTGTTAGTTCTTTTTAGGGTTCCGTACCTCAAAAGGTAAAAAAGGAACCCTTATCTCCTTCTTTTTAAGGAGAGGCCTATGTCCAGCAGTGGACTATTGTAGGCAGTTGATGTGATGTGATAAGATCACTTTCTTGTCCGTCTGTCCGTGTCACCACCGATTTCATCAGGAACGGGTAGACCTAGCAAGGTATGCATACCTTGATTGTTATACACCTAATAGGGACCATAGACTTAAGTATCTGGTATAAATTTCAACTTGCTAGGTCTACCCGTTCCTGATGAAATCGGTGGTAACACGGACAGACGGACAAGAAAGTGATCTTAATCCTTACTCCTATCCTTACTCCTTACACGATAAAAAGATATGGGCAAATTTAAATTTTCGCGAAACTAACCTAAACTTTATATTAATTTTCAACTTTTTTTATTTTTCAGAATTTTCTCTTTACTTGTGCTGTAAGACCTCGCTTTTAACCAAAATTGACAATTCTAGGTCAACCGGAAGTACCCTATAGGTTTTGGGTCGAAAACCTATATGGTAGTTCCCGCTGACCTAGAATCACGGAAATTGTCAAAAAGAAACGTCTTACAGCACAAATAAAGATAAAATTCTAAAAAATAAAAAATCTGGGTAGGTACGGAACCCTCGGCGCACGACTTCGACTCGTACCTGACCGGTTTTAAAAAAAAAAGGAGTGTGACTTCATAGGGTATGGTAGCCAATTTTCATTCATCAATAGCCTATAATAGTAAACTGCTGGACATAGGCCTCTCCTTAGAAAGGAGGCTTTGGTCTACTATACCACGCTGGCCAGACAGGTTGGTATAGGGCTTGTTTCAAACATGTATAAAATTGTGTGTAGCAAGCTAATTAAGAACGTGATATTATAATGCACACATAGGTGTGCCCTTTTTTTTCACGGATACGATTTTGGAAATCTCTAATTACTTCATGAATATATAGTTTCATTCAACTCAATACCTCCACGCCCTACTGAGTTCAAGGGTCTTGACAAGCAGCCTACAAAGTGATGCTATAAGGGTTCAGTTTGTTTCCTTTTGAGGTACGGAACCTTAAAAACATGTTGGAAAATAATATGATAGGTTTTTGAAATGACCGGCCAATTATAGTCTGCAAAAAGTTGATGTTTAATTCACCTTTATATACCCGTTTGGGGATAAAAGCTGTAAATATTTAGATAAATTATCAGTTATTTGGATTTACATATTAAAATAAATAAAAAAACAGTTTAAAAATAAATATACCTTTATTTAGTACTTTTTCTTCTTAAAGCTGGTTTGTTTAAAGGTAATTTCAACTGTGCCACCTTTTTACTACCAGTGTTTACTAAGGTAGCACCGGTTAAGGCAACTTTAGAAGTAACAGTTCTCGGGGTTAACTTTAGCTGTTGGCATAATTCATCAAAATCAAACTTATAATTATTTATAAGTAAAATAAAAACCAATGCGTGACACAGTGACTTGTCTTTGAACTGCGGTGACCTACCACGTTTACCGTTCACATTACTCAGGAAGTTCTTCAGGATTATATCGTTCAATGTAACAGAGTAGGGACATGCAACAAAATTCTTTCGCCCAATATCTTTCATTAACGTTGCAAATAACTGTAGCAACGCATTTGCATATACGAGAAGTACCGTATGCTTTTCAGATAAAGATTTTATTGCTATAGACTTCAGGAATGGATTTAAGTCCTTCATGTAATCAGAACCCTCAATTTCCGCAGATATCTTATCATATTGCTCCTCCGTTAGCAACGTGTCTATATCATACACTTCATCAACTTTAGAAGCCTCTCTGTTAATAGGGGGTATGTAGAATTCGTCAGAATCTTGTCTGTTGTATGAAGAAATATCCAGTTGGTCTTCTGTAACACTATCGGTGACATTCTGCATTTGTTCAGTGACCGTGGACACATTAATTTTCAATTTCTCCCGATGTTCCATTATCTGTTTATGTTTTTTGGATCCAAACTTTCTGCTGAGTTCCAAATAACTCGTTTCAGTCACTTCAGTAGCGTCTAAGTTGGACTTGATGACTGGTTTCAGCTCGACATTGCCAACTTCTATCAGTCGCACTTTCCCGGTTCTTTTATTGCGAGCAAGTATCAAAGTTTTCCCTAAATCTTCTTTCTCTTCTTCGCCTGAATATATCATTTTGTTTATTTCGGTCGCTATACATTTTCTTTTATCATCTTCGTTCTCGTACAGAACACATTCATTTGATTTAAATTTGTCGTTTATGTAACCATTTTGGAAGTAGACGATCATCGGGTAGACGTCACCTTTGGGGCACACTTCATCGATATGAAATCGAGGCATCTTTTCATTTATTTTATCTGAATTACATGTATGTTATCACGTTTTCGCGTATTTATTTTTGTTGGAGTTTGTTAGGTTATATTATGATGTCAAATTGTCAAACAACAAGTGACAAATAGTGTTGCCTAATAACTATATAAAAAGAAAGCACTATGTATTGAATTTGAATTTATAGGAATATTGACATAACAATGGGCATCCTAATTATAATCCGATCATAATGGACACGTAGTGACTTACTTCAATCATTTTTTATGAAACTGTTGTAAATTACAGTGGGTTTGGGTTTGTTGTAGCAAATAAACTAAGATTCAAGTGCTTTCAACGAAATGTAATACAATACTGACTTGTCCAATACTTTGAGCAGAATAAAGAAAACAATTTAAAAACACGAATTCTCTTTTGCTTTTTACTTTTCTATTCTATTTTCGTTTTGACGCTGTCACACATGAGGTTATAGAAAAAAGGTTTGTCATTTGATCAATTCTCAACAGAAACATACTTAAACCACTCTGTTCGTTTAGCTAAATATAGCAATATACCTAGTTAAATTGCACAATATAGGTTTATGTTTCTACTAAAACGATATTTATTACTTGAACCTACCCAATAAGTAAGCTCTCTCAAATCTGAAAAATAATAAATTAAGAAACCATAAAATAGGTTCCAAAGTAAAAGGATAAATAGATTAAAATTATAACTTTAATCATTATTAATTCTACAGTTATGAAAAATAATAACAGAGACTAATGTAAAATACCAAATAAATAATTATTTAAATCATAATCAAATACCTACAATATAATTTTATTACAACCATCAGTATTTTTTTTCCATTTTAATTTGTACCATAGTCATGCTGTAGACACAACTGTATTAAATAAAAAATAAAAAAATATTCATGCCTTCACTTATTTTATGTTAATTAGTATGTTTACTTATGTTTTCTAAGATAGTGTTTATCAAAATTAGCTTTAGAATAGTTGTTATAATCACACAATTGACATTGATATTTAGTACCTTTATGCTTCAACATGTGCGTTTGAAAGCTTTTCCGAGAGAAAGTACTAAATTGACAGACTGCACAAGGTCTTGCTACACGAAAATAACTTTTAGTTTTTTTATTATTATTATTATTTTGATAGCAAAAGTGAGCAACTAAACTATGTCTTTCACTAGTCTTATAAGAGCAGATATTGCAAGAGTAAATACGAACAGAATGAGTAAGAGAGTGTCTTTTAAAGGCGTAACTAATCGAAGTGGAGTAAGGACACTCTTGACATTGATATTTTTGCGTTGGCAAGTGTGATAATGAATGCCTTTTGAGGTAACTTTTTTTTAAAAAGCGTTTTTTACAATGTTCACATTGAAAGACTTGTTTTAAATCATTCTTAACACATAAAACATCGGTTCCACCAGAAATGTTCGTTCCTAAAACTGATTCATCGACTACAGTAGTCGAATTTTCGATGACTTGAAAATCGTTAAAGTTAAGGAGTTCCGCATCACTATCATTTACTTTTTGATCAACTTTTATTTCGATCGCAGATTGAGTTTGCACCAAATCAGTAGAACTTACTGAAGTATGTTTTCGAGTCTTAAGTGAATCTGCAACAAATGTAAATTTAGAACTAAGTTTCAAAACTTCAAGAGCAAAACAATAATTGTGTGACGATCAAAATCATTTTTGTGTGTATGTATTTAGAATATATTTATAAGCATGTTTATCAGTAGTCTGGTTACCGTAGTATAGGCTCTGTCTAGTTTGGGATCAGACTGCCGTGTGTGAGTAGTTTTATTTTATTTTTTTTAAGTTAGAGGGGCAGACGAGCAGACGGGTCACCTGATGGAAAGTGAGCCGCCCATGAACGTAGGAGTATGCTCTTTTCTTGAAGGTTTGAAGGTCGTATCGGTCCGTAAATACCGATAACCTGTTCCGTTATATTTAAATCGCGAATAAGTCAACCATGAGTATGGAGTAACAATATAACTTTCTTACCATTGCCTTCCATACTAACCTATCATTTATTTCAATATACTTCCTAATTTTCCCATTTTATTTATAGAGAGCCCGCGTGACGGCAATAAACATGCATAATAATAAGAGAAGGAAAACTTGATACAATCCCTATACCAACCCGTCTGGCCAGCGTGGTATAGTAGGCCAAAACCTCCTTTCTAAGGAGAGGCCTATGTCCAGCAGTGGACTATTAAAGGCTGTTGATGATGAGTATGGAGCTTTAACTATACTGTTGTATCAAGTAATACAGTACAGTAGGTATGTAGGAACATGGAGTGTCACCACCATTATTCATCCCGTGGGTGTCGTAAGAGTCGACTAAGGGATCAAACTACGCAGAACAATAGCACTGCAAAGAGACCCGTCTGGCCAGCGTGGTAGTAGTATTGTAGGCCATAACTTTTCTAAGGAGAGGCCTACATCCAGCAATGGACTATAAAAGGCTGTTGATGATTAATAAAGTACTTACCATTATTTGTTTTGTAATATGGCAAACAATTGTATTTACTGACATTAACACGAAGGACGTTGGCAAACTCGCTTCCGTAGAACACGAGGAGCTCCGTGAAGCGAGGGATTATTTTGATCGTTCTGAAACTCATAGCATCAAAATATACTTTCTAGTTTTTTTTAAAAATAAATTATATTTTATAAGGTCTCTGCATATAGGTACTCTAAGATGATGACAGTGTTATCTCATGTGGGGATCAAACCCTACACAGCACAGTAGGAAGCGGCATGTTTAACCACTACGCCGTGCAGTCCAAATAACATTATACTATTGATTATGGAACAAATGTGTTAATAATAATAACCTCACACATTGCACACACAGCCGTCTGATCCCAAACTAGACAGAGCCTGTACTATGGTAACCAGACTGCTGATAAACATACTTATATATTTTTAAATACACACATATTGTACATAGACGGTGTCGCGTCACACTGTTTTAAAAGTAAATTATGTGTTACCCACCTGTAGTACAGTTGACCCTTATACTGATAAGCGACGAGGTTCTGCTCGGTCCAATGTCGCGAGCAGTTCACATAACGCATCCAATTGGAGCGTTCAGAGTCAGCTGCGTCTACCACATGTAATCTTTTGTTGTCAGTGCCGAAGATCTATATAAAATAAATTAGTTTAAAAATAGCAGAGCCATGGCGCGGTACATAATATGAGCTCGATGGTATACCACGGCCTCACAGGATACCACTGTTAAGCATTTCTTTCATAGTTTGTCAGAGAGAGAGAGAGGGGGGGAGGAGGGAGTGATTTGGTCTTCTGATAATCCGCTTATTGGATGAAAGAAATTGCTTAACACCGGTTTGCCGTGGGTCCGTGGTACTCCGATCAGGCCTGTCCATAGATGGGTAAGAATGGCTCTGACACATTGATGATAAAATCTGTAATTCTATAAATTTTAAACCTGTTAATTACTTGAACAAATCTGATGGAAGGAAAGGAATAGATTTTATTTTTTGTATGTGTAACTCTTTCCTCTCGCTTTCCTGAGGCCCAAGTGCTAGTTTATTTCAGATCTACTTGATCGTCGTTCGGCTCAGCGATTGCCCCAATCTTATCCAATCGCAACGCTAAACGCGCTCGCTGTCTAGAGTGTTTTGATTTGAAATAAACTAGCACTTGGCCCTCTGTTAGCTGTGGAAGGGGTTAATGAAAAAGGACGGAAGGGTGCAACAGGAAGTTGGGGAAGCGCGCGTTATTTAATTTGACCTCTGAACGCGCACTATTTGATTTGACCTCTGAGCGCGCACTATTTGATTTGACCTCTGAGCGCGCACTATTTGATTTGTCCAATGAGCACGGGCTATTTGATAGGACCTCTGAGCGCGCACCATTTGATTTGACCAATGACCTCGCGTTATTTGATATGACCTGTTAGCACGCACCATTTGATTTGACCAATGAGCGCACGCTATTTAATTTGACCTCTGAGCGCGCGCAATTTTATTTGACCTCTGAGCGCGCGCTATTTGATTCGACCAATAAGCGTTCGCTTTTTGATTTGACTTCTGAGCGCGCACTATTTGATTTGAACATTGAGCCCGCGCTATTTGCTTTGACCTCTGAGCACGTACTATTTGATTTGTCCTCTGAACGCCCGCTATTTAATTTGACCTCTGAGCGCGCGCTTTTTGATTTGACCAATGAGCGTTCGCTATTTGATTTGACCTCTGAGCGCATTCTATTTGATTTGACCAATAAGCGTGCGGTGCTAGAGTTGACAGTCAGGTTTAGGTGAGAGATCAGATGTTTTACATCATAATATAATATGCGACTACTGTTAGGATTACTGTTTTTTTTAAACTAAGCTAAGTAAAGGCTAGTAATGTATATAACTACGGCAAACGAAATACCCTGGTCAGTAGTACGGAGTAGGTTTTATCCCAAAAATCATCCTTTAAGTGGTTATATGATATAAAAAAAATTGCCACATTTGAAAAAATAAATAAATTATTTCCTTATAATTTGAAAATATATAACGTTTTTTTGAAGAAATGATTTATTTATTTTTCCAAATACGGCAATCTTTTTGATATCACCACTGATGAGCCACTGCCATTCCATCGCCACTGTAAAGAAACTGAGTTAGTGTAGACTACCGACATTTATACCGATGCCAATGGCCACTCGATGGCATCTCAATAGCGTGTCAGTGTCATGACAGTGGCTTGGCGTGAACATAAAATAGCAGAATTGAGGCCCAGGTTTTTTGTTCGACGTGTGTATACAATCATGTGATTACCTGCCAACAGTACATAGAGTCCACAGAGTCGGTACGAAGCCCTTGATAAGGACCAAAGCGGACGCCACGGGGTAAAGTTATTGTGCTGAATACCCCTATACCAGCACCTGAGGTACACATTCATATTTAAACAGCAAAATAGTTGAACCGACTTCAAACAATACTAACAGCAAAGAGCACTAAAAACCTAGCAGCAATCGCGGTTGATTTGCT